ACGAAGATCATGAACAATAACGGACCCAAGATGGAACCTTGTGGTACGCCAGAAGGTACGGGAAGAGGAGAGGAAATATGTCCATCCACAACGGTTCTCTGTATTCGATTGGATAGATAGCTTGAGAACCAACTGAGAACACTTCCGTCAACACCGTACGATTTTAGTTTATGGACGAGAACATGATTAACGCTATCAAAGGCTCTGCTGAAATCAAGATAAATAACGTCAGTCTGCAGACCTTTATATCAAGAGCACAACCAAGTTCGTGAAGAAAGCACAGCAGTTGAGTAACTGTTGACCGACCACTGAGGAAGCCATGCTGAGCATTGTGCAGTTGTGGAGCCAAGTGAGCGATCAGCCTCGAGAAAACACAATGTTCCAGCACTTTGGAGACAATACACAAGAGAGATATAGGACGATAGTTGGAGATTATCTCTTTGCTACCTTTCTTATGCACGGGAACAACGTGGGCAAGTTTCCATTGCAAAGGTAAGTACCCAGTTTGAAGAGACAAGTTGAAAAGAGAACACAGCGAGGGAGTAATTTCATCAGCACACTCCTTGAGTAATCTGGCAGGAATACCATCAGGACCATGAGCTTTGTTGGTGTCAAGCTTGTGGAGTATGGTGGCAACTTCCTCGCTGGTGAGAACAATCGTATCCAGTACTAGTCCAGTAGAAGAAGAATCGGGACCTACATCAACATCAGGAAGAAACAGTTCATCAGAATTTGTGAAGGTGAATGAAGAGAAGAAATAATCATTGAATGCCTTTGATTTCTCTTTCGTGTTGCGGTAGTAATGTTCATTGAGTTTCACAATGTTCGGAATAGAGCCAGATCTTGTGTGGGATTTTAAATAGGACCAAAAACGCTTTGGGTTATCTTTAAGAGAAGTTTGTAGAGACTGGATGTAGATACTGTGTTTCTTCCTGATGGTTGACTTAAGCAAACGGCGAAGATGACAAAACTTTTCCCAACATGAGCTGTCCTTACCACGAGATAAGGCCTTCCTTCTGGCTGTCTTCTTTTGGCGGAGTAGATGCATGACTTCACCATCAATCCACGGAGGACTACCACCACAGATTTTTCTTTTCAGAATGTGCCGATCGACCGCTGACGTAAACAGGTCATACCAACGTTCCGCAAATTGTGTTCCGCAGTGTGTCCCTAAGAGCCAAGAAGTCAGCGTTCTTGTAGCTGTACACCTTGCGAGATGTTTTTGCAAGAAGTTGTGGTTTCACAGTGAAGTCAAACACCAACAAGGAATGATCTGTACAGAACTGCGTCTCATAAGGAGGTAAAATATCAAGGTTTAAAATATCAAAATAAAGATTCGTCACTCGTTGGCGATGTAAAACAAGGCGACGACCAGTTGATAGTTGGAAAGTTAAAATCACCAAGAATTACGATCTTCTTGTTGGAATGTAGAATGTCCACTTTCTGCAGAAAGGATGAAAACCCACTGACGAAATTTAATGAACATTCCGGAGGTCTGTGAAATGTCGCAAGAAGAACATTTGGCGCATCTGCCAGCTCAATTTCAACCACTACCATTTCAAGTTCAACTTCAAGATCCAAACGACAACACAATATGAGGCTATTTTTAACCATTAGAAGAACCCCACCGGCTCTTCGCCCGCATGCCTATCATTACGGTAGCACGTGTACGAGAGATATGACGGAAGTTCACTGTCCCGAATGTGTGGACCAAGCCATGTTTCCGTTATCGCAAAAACATAAAAGTTTTTGGAGAACACGAGTTGGTAAAAGCTGTCCAGTTTATTACACACAGATCTAACGTTCATAAGACCACATTTCATTGATGATTTCATTGAACGATTGTGTTTGATGTATGTCTGACCATATGGGACATCGGGTCCAGGATTATTTTCCATATCACCTGACAGGCCAATAACCAATGCTGAGATGTAAAGGTAACAACATATATCCAGAGACCAAACAATAGTTTTGCTTTCAGCGGTAGTGAATGTAGTTTTACCATCTTTTTTCTTGGTGCAAACGTGCGGATTTTAACTGGCAAAGAGATGCTGATGTCCACATGCAATAGTTCAAAGTTCAGTGAACATGAAATACAGCATTCCTGACGAGTAAGACAATAAGCCAGAGTGAATAGATGAAGGAAACAAACCAGCGCAAAATGCCATCTCATTCTGTTTCTAATTGGCATTTTAGAATAGTTCTTGATCCAAGTGAGTGTTCTAATTAGGTTGACGTTGGATTCTTGATTTCTTGATTGCGCATGTGACAAAGAGACGATGATGATGAGATACGTAACGGTTAGCTGCTTGCGCACGTGACAACCAACAAACCCACGAACACAAACACCAAATTAAAAAAGTTTATATGAAAATAACGGCACACCACCAAGAAGATAATTAAAAAATACACAACAATTCTTCCACACAAACTGTATTTAAAAATGATGTAGACCAAGTACGTATCTAACACTGTATGTAGTTTATTTTCCACAGAGTTAATAGACAGACTTAGATTGAGGATGTGAACGTTAAGAGGACGGGAGATGCGTAAAAAAGATGCGAGATGAAGCGAGATGTGTCATCCGCTCGTTCAAATTTTTAAAAAATTGACATAAGAGCTGAATAGGCAGCAATGGTCGTAAAAGGAATCTAATTTTGCAGAGGAATACAATTATGCATCAACTCTTTTGTCCTTTGTTTGCAGCACAAGTGTAGAATGGTCCACGGTATTTTTCTTGTTACGTTTAACAGGAGAAAGCTTATGAACATAAGCAATTAGAAAGGAATCATCGCTGTTCTCTTTTAAAAGGGTACACCGTTGACAGGACTTTATATTTTGTGTGTGGTGATGCAAAGTTAAATCCAGGTCTCATAAATATGTTAATTTTATCAGTATTGACTACAAGACTAGTTTGAATGGGACAAAAACCTGTAAACATTGTTGGTGATGGTAACCCATCAGCTTTACGACGACGAAAGTCGTCATGCGCAAATAAGAGCTCATGCAATCCAGAACATCTCATAGAGTCAAATACTGAGCAATCATGGTTACATTATTTACAAAATATGTCAAGGCTAGGCACATGAGCCGACCACATTATGATACAGGCAATTGCAAATGCAAAGAATTTAAGAGCGGCTCCGCGTAAATATCAACCGAAGTCATGCAAAATAAAAAAATCAAAAATTCTGAATTTTTTTCAGAATAACCATTATGGGTCGCTTATTAACGAAAAATCATTTTAAGATCGATTGAACGAGTATTGAGGCTGGGGGAAGCTCGTCTTTGCGGAGAGGCTCTCAGACCAAGAAAATAGGTAGGAAAATAGGGCTGCGCTTCAGCGCAATGTGACGGGGAAACACAGCATTATTCGCCAAACCAAATATATCAGATTAAAGGTTGGGAAATACTTCCGCTTTCTGCTGATTTTCAAAGCAATCGAATTAAAGTAGAATTTTTGACAGGTTTTTGAAATTTAATCTTCCTGTCGGACATTTCGTGACACCTGATCTAAGCAATTTTCGAGCGCGACAAATCCAGCATGATACATGTTTTTTTGGAAAGTTGTTCTATTTTCCAAAAAGAGTAACTCATGGCCTCTAGAATGACGCCGAAAGTTTTTTGGGAACTCTAAATTTGCGCCGTTGAAACGGGGTGAAATACGACCACTTGAGCGCTAAGATGACCTATGACACAGAGCCGCTGAGAGCGGTTAAACACACTATATTTAGCTAAACATTTATTTTCTCGGTGGAAATAACAGACAAAACGACATCCAGAGTTAAAATAATTCATAGACAATTCAATGTGGTCATTAGTTACCGATCAACCATTCGTTTGCTGGGAAAATCTTTAGGAAGAGACTTGTTGTGCGATTTGTAAAACACAGTGTTTGGCAAAATATTGTAAACAATATACTGTATAATAGCCTGCAACGCAGACTATATATTGGGGTATATATAGTCTGCTAATCAGCGGCACAAAGCTTGTATGGTCACGTGAATGTTCGAATTATTTCCGGTATTATAATTATGATTATGTATATGATTTGCGCGCAAATTGCATAATTATTTGCGACAACATGGCCGCGCTGATGTGCGTGCTGTGTTTCTCTGTGCTGGAAAAGAAGTCAGATATAAATCTTGTAAAAGGAAAGCGTTCTCTCGACATTGCGGCCGACATATTACGATGACAATGCTGGTTCCAACGACTTGTTCTTCGAGAAGGTCAGCGAGGAGAGGAACCGCTTGGAAGACTAGAGACTTCCCGTAGCCTGTGCCAGCACTAAAGAAGATATTCTTACCAAGTAAGAAGGCTTTGAGTACCTCGAATTGCTCTCGATGAAGACTTTCCACTTGAAAAAAACAGCATACAATCCGAATAGCTTCCGAAAAGTGCTCTTCTTCAAGCAAAGACGGTTCGATGAAGGACGCCATGTTGTTTGTGAAAATAATAAATATTCTGAAATTTTGATTATTTTGCATAATTATAAGCTAACCAATCAAAATAAGTCCCACAATTTCTCGGGAAACCCACGTGACCATACAAGCTTTGTGCCGCTGATTAGCAGACTATATATACCCCAATATATAGTCTGCGTTGCAGGCTAACTGTATAATGACTAATGTCTATAATCACTTGCACAGTTTCCCGAGCTGATCGCTGCAAACTACGCACCAAAGCACTGACTTTTTTACTTTTAATATGATTGAAATCAGATTGAAAATAATTTCACAGCAATCTCAGTCACGTTGATGCGAAGACAGTTGACAGCTAACAGCTAACAGAAAATGTCAGTATGCCGCACTGCATCAATACTGCTGTTTGCCAGCTACCAAATAGGCGTGCGATTTTTTCATATTTGATTGCGTTTTAGAGTTGTATGTTTGCAATTTGAAACATACATGTAACATGTTTGATAGATGTGAACCTCAATTTTTGACAGGTTACGCCTATATATATTTCGTCAGTGTCAAAACATGCTATTTCCGCACACATGCATGGTCACATTGTTCTTTTTACACGGGTAGTTTCTTTATATCACTCGAGGTTCAATTAGTATAGGCTACATACAATCACGTTTCTTTTGTAAAGTGGGCATTTTTAAGCTCTATATCAGCGTTTCAACTTTCAATGTGCGCACAGAAACGCCATGGAATGCGGCTACGCCATGTATGTTTGTCTTGCGGCGAGAGTCCGCACAGTCCACATACAAGGCAATGTCTCACAATTGCTGACTGTATAGTAAAGATATACGGAATTATTTGAGATTTTTGAAACTTGGAGATCCATCAATCACTTCCGAGGCCAGTTTATTACTCGCACGTGCAGGTATGTGTCGATTATACCAACCACTTATTGCCTTTTAATAGCCTTACAGAATACTCGATTGTATTTTCATATACAACGCTTGTTATTTGAATTGTCATTTTCCTAGTTGAGAAAGATAACCAGTATGCATATGTCATATGTTCTTGTAGGTCTCTTTGGTCCTGAAGAAAATCATAGCAACATTTCCATTTGTCCTCGGCATCGCGATAGCCATGGAATTTGCTGGCGGAGCAACCGCAGAAGTTGTGCCTGTCCCGCAAGCTGGGCAGAACACAGGAGCGCCAAAGCCGAACGGCCAATAACAAAGGAACAATCAGAGAAGTTACTAAACCTTACTGATGTGCTTATTCCGGTAGGATCGAGTAAGTAAGGACATGCGATCCGAATCAAACGGACGCGTAGTTATGAGTTTTTTCTGGTTGCTGAATTATTTTCTTCTTTTTAGAGAGGTATTTGTGAATGCAGCACATTTGCACTGAGTGAAGCAAAAGACGAACATTTCAGTAGCACTTGTGACCATACACACAATGACGCCTGTCCACAGTGTGAAGCCCTCGACAAAGTGTTGGTCGATATTGGAGATGTCTTCAATAACGATAACGTTGCCATCGCGGAAGATGAGTTAGTGGATCTTCAATACATCTGCCAGAAAGCGACACAAGATGGGAAGTCATGGAAAGCGCACCAACTTCGAAGCATCACACAAGATGAGGCTAGACTAGACGTCTTGGACCGGCTTGACCAGTTATCTGTCCTTATCACAAACCATCAAGAGATTCTTTGGCGAAAGGCTGGGCACTCAAAAGCACGCAAATTGAAGCGTTTTAACGAATCTCAACGATCCTACTTGGATGCAAAATTTTCAATTGGTCAAGAAACCGGCCACAAAGTAGATCCCACTTCTGTTGCCAAAGAAATGCGATACGCCAATAAGAAAGACGGAACAAGAATGTTTCAGGCCGGAGAGGCTAACTGAAACTCAGATCCGGGCTATTTCTCAAGACAGGCGGCAAAACTGTGACATGGTTATGAGCCAGATAGTGATGACGAGGCGGCAATTGAGGAGGAGAAAAACTACAGCACGACGAGGGATCTCTTTGTCCAGGATATTGGAATACAGCATCCACTGACTATCACCAGTACAATCTTTGCAGAATGTTCTGCAACAAACTCAACAAGCTAAGTATCAAGCTACTTCAGGACATATCTGCAAGCATGGACATAGACACAAGTAGCATAACCACATGCCGTAAGGCGCCTTACATAGCCTTGTTGTCAGAAGCAATCCAACAGTGCAGTTGTCAAAAATAGATAATTTTACTCAGCTACTTTATACAAGATAATTTCTTTGTACTGTATCAACCAATTCAATATGCTGATTTATTAATTTTTGTTCAAGCGTTCACATATCAGATTGACGGTGTCCAGTGCCAGTGGTCACACTGTAATCATGAATGCAGTAGTGACTTGAACAATGGATACTTCGCATCTATTTTTCCCACTTGTTGTTAGATGACACGGCACAGGCCATAATTAAGTTCTATACGCTTACAGGGTAGTGAAAGCATCTTTATCGCTAATTGTCACCATATGTTTTATAGAATACGTAATGCAATAGCGCAAAACAAAAAGTGAACCTTACCGGCTTTGGTACGCAGCCATTGCGGCGACAAACTCGGGTAACTGTGCAAGTCATTGTCAGTTATGTCATTTTTTGCAATATTTTTGCCAAACATTGTGTTTCACAATTCGCGTTAAAAATCTCTTCCAAAAGATTTTCCCAGCAAGTTAATTGTCGATCGATAATTCTAAAACAACTTAATATGTGACTTTGGAAAGTACCGAAATATTTTGAACTTTGAAGACTACTAAGTAAAGTTAATGTTGAACTGTCTAACAATAAATTGATAATATATTTCAAAGTCTCAAGCCTCAGACCTGGGTAAAATGTGCAAGTTATTTAAATATTGATACTAATATTCACCACATTGAATTGTCTATGAATCATTTTAACTCTGGATGTTGTTTTGTCAGTTATTTCTGTGTCTGTTCAACTGGATATAATCTTTCAACTAGGGTCTTTCTGTAAACTTTAATACATCTGTGGATTTTAGTAATCTTTAATCCCAAACTCTCATAGAGCTTTAAACTCTCATGATGCACGATGTAGCTCTTGAGGAGTTCACAGCAAATAGGTATACAATCCATCGTAATTATCGCTACTCTGGTCTTAATAAATGAAAGTAATCACCAAACAAAGTGTTGAAATGTTTTTCCCGACCAATCTAAGTCTTCAGAGTGTTTCACAAGTCGCTTGTCTATCCAATCATGATGTGTGTCAACTGGGTTTAAGGCCCTTGTGATTGCCCACTTGAAACTGCAGGCATCTTCATTCTGTATATTGATGACAGCTTTTTTAACCTTAATTATCTTAGGCAGGTGTGAATTTTGTAATGAAAATTTCTAAACTCTCCACAGCGTCAAGTCTCCAACCACTACCCAAGTTCTGGACTCTAACATTTTTGCCTTAATTACATCATATTTTTCAAAGTCATCTTCGGAGTTAAAACTATGAGCTCTACTGTTGAAAGCGACCAGCGAGTACTCCATCTCTCCTGTCGATGGGTTTGGTCTTACCATTTTGCATCCAAGAACTGTGCAGACTTTTTTCCCAAAGTTGTCTGTGTTTGTAATAAGATCAAACACGTTTTGGGTGGTGGCTTCTGGGAACACTTTTGGGTCTTTAAATCCATGACCGTTTATACAACATTTTACAATATTTTTTCTTATTGCATTCGACACCAGAGTTGGACTCAGTCTTTGTCCCTCCCCTTCTACCTGGATGTCTTTCTCCCATTAAAATCTCTCCTCAAGAGCCTTGATGCTGTGATACCAAGACTCGGTTCTCAACTTTTTTGGGTTTTTAATTATTATTCTTTTGTGAAGTGTGTGAATTTCGTTAATTATTCTTTTGTCTTTTTTTCAATAGTTGTAGATCCTTCTCCAACTTTGTAAGACTATGCTGTTCTTTATCTAAGTTTCTGGGTTTTTGTAGCCTCTTGTTTAATTTCTTTTTCTCAAAGTTTAGCCTCCCGTTGCGCTCGCTCTTTGTTTTTGCAAGCTCTTTGTTTTTGCAAGCCCTTTCAGGTTCAAACTTTGCAACGTGTTTGTCAATAGCAGCTTGGGCTTTTTTCCTTTGTGCAATCACTTTTTACATTCTTTTTCCAGCTTGGCTTGTGCTTCTTTGCTAGTCTTTATCAGCTTTCACAGGAGGACAAATATACAGGGTGTATAAAAAAAAATGTCCCAAATGTAAAATTTTCATTTTTCAGGATATTTTGCAGAATTTGGCAAATTTTTGTGTTCCTAGAGATAGTTAAGACTTATCTGGTATACCTAGGCCAAGTTTGGTTTTTCATTAACAAAATTATGCTACCAGGGGGGTGGTTCCTTTCCACTGATATTGAGAGGGCTTGCGTGCGAAAATGTGAAGCTCAAATTGAGATATTATTTAGCTGTCTAAAAGTAGGAAAGCTTTTTAATAAACTGCCAAAGTTTCAGAAAAAATAATGCATACTGGGAGCAACGCGCGACCCCTAAAGGTGACAAATATTTCATTGCGCGCAGTGGATTAAATGCATTGTTGATTTTTGCGTGACCGATCTCATGCAAGGCTGTGCAAATGAATAAATTAAAGCGAGAAGTTGAACAAAAATACAAAGCGATTTAATAACAAGATTCTTATTCTTGATGTTAATCCTCAACATTTCCACCATTTCTTTCTAAGCAAACTGCGGCTCGTCTGAGCATGGTAAACACTGAACGGCGAACTACAATTGTCCTGCCTCAAATTATCCATTTCGTTTGAAATTCCTTCTTGCAAATCACGTACGCTACCACCGGCAAATCTAGGCGAATGGACAGACAAATGGTTCGCTGTTCACTGTTTTTGCTTAGAATGAAATGGTGGACATGCTGAGGATTAACATCACGAATAAATTGCTTTGTTTTTGTGTTCAATTTCTCGCTTTAATTTATTCATTTGTCCAGCCTTACATTAGATCGGTCACGCTAAAATCAACGATGCATTTAATCCACTGCGCGCAATGAAATATTTGTCACCTTTAGGGGTCGCGCGTTGCTCCCAGTATGCATTATTTTTCCTGAAACTTTGACAGTTTATTAAAAAGCTTTCCTACTTTTAGACAGCTAAATAATATCTCAATTTCAGCTTCACAATTTCGCGCGCAAGCCCTCTCAATATCAGTGGAAAGGAACCACCCCCCCGGTAACATAATTTTGTTAATGAAAAACCAAACTTGGCCTAGGTATACCAGAAAAGTCTTATCTATCTCTAGGAACACAAAAATTTGCCAAATTCTGCAAAATATCCTGAAAAACGGAAATTTTACATTTGGGACATTTTTTTTGATACACCCTGTATAGTATATATATATATATATATATATATATATATATATATATATATATATATATATATATATATATATATATATATATTATATATATATATATATATATATATATATATATATATATATATATATATATATGTATATATGTATATTTGTATATATGTATATATGTATATATGTATATATGTATATATGTATATATGTATATATGTATATATGTATATATGTATATATTTATATATGTATATATGTATATATGTATATATATTATATATAATTATATATATTATATATATATTATATATATATTTATTATATTATAATATTATTATATATATATTATAAATAATATTATATTATATAATTTATATATTATATATATATTATTATATATATATTATATATATATTATATATATATTATATATATATTATATATTACTTGCACCACTGTTATGTTAATTAAGGATCGCGAGGTTTTTCTCTAAAAGAAGCTTTGATTGAACACCATGTCAGTTGAAAACGAAGTAAAATATTCTTCTCAACAAACTGCCATGACCATCATGACCGCCATACAATCATATAAATATTTGAATCATAACATTGGGAAACGGTAAACTAGGACTAAAATGGCCAGACTTCCATGAGTTAACAGTTTAAATTGAAGAGATACGTAAAAATCCCACAGAGAATTCCTGCATTTTTCGGTGAAAAGTACTGACGAACCATCCCGGCAGAGCAAAATTTGTTGAGAAAAATATGATTGATTCTTTTGTTTATAATCTGATGCAAAACAAAAGGGATCTTCACTGGGGGCGAGCCATCAATGGGGGCTAAAAAAAGAGCTGGCAGGGGAAAAATTTTCGCACAAGCGTGTTCAATCGTTATTTATAAAAGGATGCAGTATATATGAGCTTCAACAAAACAAAAGTACAAGGAAATGAAGTAGTAATGGATCAAAATTAGATAAGTATTCTCAATGTTTCCTATAGTCTATTAGTTGGCGCCATCATGTCACACCATGAAGTTGTAGCAAGCATGTGCTTTTGTTTGAACTTTGAAACTCAAAAGGCCTCCTAAGTAAGGCATTTAATATTATCCTTGGTAGCACATTGATGTTATTTATGTTTATTTATTTTTGTTTCGCTGTTTAGCTTAAAGGTTCCAGAGAAATCGTTGTCACGATTGATCATTATGAATGTCTTAACCTAATTACTATGCTATTTATCAGTGCATGATATAATTAAGGTATTTAAAGGTTCATTTTAATAAAGGGTACTTTTTTTGTATACACCATGTACTGTATTTCCCACCAACTGCCTATA